CCTGCTTCGAATCATCTGGTATGAGCCTGACTGATGTTCCATTAGCTGAGCTGGACAATGGGGGCCAATTGCCACCCCTCTATAGTGACTTACTTGGACTCGTAATTAAAGTTCGCTCGCCTTGACTAGCATTTCCGATCACGGTCCTGACTCGTACGAAAATTGTGGAATCAACATTGAAAGGTACCATCAGACCTTCTATCAGGCTTCTATCAGACCTTCTAACGATCCCGCGAGATTTTGGAGCAGTTAATGCTAGATCTTGCCGATGTGCTGTTTCCCATAATCGGACTTGTGCAAGTTGCCACCTCAGTCTGACCCCAAGTCAAGTATAAAAAGAGATTCGTCTCGCATCTCCCAGCACGATATATGCAGCTTTTGATCTACACCTCTAGCTCTACCGACCCCACATCGAGTGTCATCTCGTCATAAGGCGGGTAGCAATCGTCAGTATAGAGTCGAGGCTCTAAAACATTGGCTGATACTTCGATGTCGCTCACACTACCCCGCTGAAAGTGCAACATATCAACGCTGATTCGAGTGTTTTATCTGCTCTAACGCGCGAAACGATCGCGGCCGGCACGATGATCAATCTACCTCCCTGGTTCGTGCTTCAACCAGTTACCGAGAACGATATAATCATCGCCTCGATTGCACTAGGGTTTACACTAGGCTTCGGGTTGTTGACAACATGGACTGCGACGAGGCAGACCTGGGTAGCATACAAGCGAACAGGTCGCATGGTATTGCACAACGTATACATCCGGATGGTGTGGGGGGAGATTATTGTCTGTCTCGTTTTCAGCGTCATGTGCTTCATGCATCTAAGGGGCAAGATCTCTCCATGGTACGTTCAAGCATCACCTTAAACGATGTCGTTGATGCTGACCAGACACTATCTAGCTTCGGCTTCTATTTCTCTATCCGTAAGCCCATTTCCACGAGTCTCATATGCTTATTATACTAATCAAGATGAAAGTCACGGTTTGGGCACTTCAAGTCCATTTCTTGCTGCAGATCATCATCAACCGTTGCCGTATCATTGCCCAAAATAAATGCTTCATGCAGAAACTGAAGATTGGAGTGGCAATATTAATCTGCCTTGTCAATGTATCCGTCTACAACATCTGGATCCCAGCGCGCATGCAGATTGCTCCGAGTTACATACACGTCAACGAATGGTGGGATCGATGTGAAAAGGTTATATACATGTTTACGGACGCCTTCCTCAATATCTACTTCATACGAGTAGTCCAACTTGGACTGGTACGAAATGGCCTGACCAAGTATCAAGGCTTGGTTCGTTTCAACATGTTCATCATTGGGTTCTCTCTAAGTATGGATCTTCTCATCATTACCATGATGAGCTTGCCGAATACGTTCGTGTGAGTAGGCATTCTTCTGCTTTGTCGTATCAAACAATGATGACTTGAATGGAAAAAGCCTTCGTGTTGAAACTAATCAGTCGATTCAGTTACATGCAGTTTCACCCTTTAGCATACATCGTGAAACTTAACATCGAATTATCAATGGCCGACCTCATAGGGCGCATCGCAAGAAGCAGAGACAACCAAGAGTTCTTCGGGTCCACCACCACTACCACCAGCAGCGACAGCAGGAAATTTCGACGAAGCAGGTCATTTGTGGATCGATGGCACAGCATTGGACTCGGAAGTGCGAACCACAAATCGGGCATTCATACAGACGAAATTGCGTTCAATGATATAACGAGGCCCGATACAGCCTATACAGTTAACGCCACAACAAACAATGGCATTGAATCCGTCCGTCCTTCAAGAGACATCTATACCACGCGGGAATTCCGCGTTGATTTTGAGGACTCGAATTCTCAGTCGCATTGCGACGACAAGGTTTCGAGTCACGCAAGATGTTACGTGTCGGGCACCCCGAGACAATCGAGAGAAGATAAAAGCGTCAGCCGAAGCGACCGTGACGATTATGTTATTACGGATGATACCCCTGTCTAATATTTCTCGCGAAGAAGTGAAAGAATCTGGTAGCATTGCCGCCGATAATAACATCAAAAAGTTTTGTTGCATAATCCTGATCTTGACTATCTTATTGCAATTAACTCCTAGGGAGTAGAAAAACCCTGCCCAACCATGGTTCATTTAAGCAGAAAGTAAATTCATAAGTTTCGAGGAGGAATAGATCCACCTTCCATTTACTACATCAACTATTCTTTTCTCATCTAATTAGTATCGAGTTACCACACACAGATAAAGAATGAAGGCGTGATGAAATGAAGTTGAGGGCCCCCAAGTTATTTCTCCCGGTATTGTCGCCTGTTTTTGGAACACCAAAGCGAGATCTTGACATAGACTGTTGATGTGATAGATGTCGATGAGTTCAAGGAATGTAGACTACGTTGTAAATATCGTGAAACATGCCACTAATGCTGGAGCTAAGGACAATGGTGATCAATTGTTCCCTGTAATCACTTCCACTGTGAGATCGTTCGGCCAGACAGGTATGTCAATACCATTGCCTCTTGTGCCCACATGATACTTGAGCTCTAGGCCACTGGAAAATTGTGCGATGGGCTTAGGCCGTATGAAGGTTGTCACGAGATGTTCAGCCTTCATCTGTTGAAAAAAGGTAGGGTTGAACAACGTCTCAGAGTCATACTCCGAGAGCAACTTCATCATGGCTGGCAGGAGATATGACATAGCATGGTAATGTCGGAAGGCAGGTGATTTGTGCCTTTGCCAGAGCTCCTGCCATACTTCGTTGCTATAGCTTCCACAGTCCCGTACCAGCCATTGTGAGTAATAATTCAGCGAGACCTATAATGAGAGAGATATGTTTAGTACCTGCATGAGGAACAATCAGCTTTAGATTTCACTTACGTCGACACCATAGCTACCTCCATCTTCCGCGCGCTTGATCAGTGCCTCCAAGACCGCAGTGCTCCCAATGACACCAGTACTTGCAAACGATCAGCAGAAGTTATTCTTCGTCCCGGGGACTTGCACTGACCAGTAATCAGAGTTTGGAAAGACCGGAGTCACAGCCTCGGACTCATCATTGTTCATCGCTTTCGCGTAGGCCCGAGACACGCCGCAGCACTAGTTGAGAACAATTAGATCACGAAAAAGAGATTAAGCTGTAGTCGTATGTAGACTGACCGCATCACTAATTTGCTGCCAACCGCTTCGGTGGCTCCAGGGACCATGCCAGCCATAGCAGTTCTCGCGGACGTGAATGATCCCACGCGCCCGGTCTTTGACTAGATCGAGGACAGCCTCTCGGCTAAAACCGAGACGATCCATGACCCCTGGTCGATACCCGTCGACAACGACGTCCGCCTCCCTTATCAGTGCCCTCAACTTCTCCTTGTCACCTTCATCTTTGAGGTGTAAAGAGGCGTTCCACTTTCCCCAATTGAGGTCCTGGTGCAAGACGGACAGATCAGTTGTCAGTGGGGATGTAATACGCATTACACTAGCACCCATCTCTGCAAGACTGCGCCCGATGGCAGGGCCAGCTATGACCCGACTGAGGTCAACAACTTTAAGACCAGCCAAGGGTCTCTTGGGAGAAGACAAATGGCTGTTGTTCGTAGGCCACCAGGATGCCGGCTGGGAGCCAGTCTTGGAGATCTCGTAGAGTCCGACGTGCTTGTTCGCCTGGCCATGCTCACTAGCGAGATATTCTTCTGAAGTCCACGCAATTGTTCCACTTTGTTTATACTGCTGGTTCATAAGCTCGTCGAGTTCTGCGGAGTCAAACTGTAAAACCTTGTCTTGGATGGTTTGTACTACGCCGTCGTATGTATCGTTGTCGTTTCCAAACAGCGGTAGGCCCAATGCGGTCAAGGTGTGGTCAGGATTCATACTCCCTGCATGGATGGCGATGAATAAAATGTTCGTTTACATGATTTCTTCGCGAGTAAGAGGTCAATGTACGTACCATGGGTATGATAGCATCTCCCATCTTTTGTCTTGTATATGTTCGTTGCCAATGTTCGGTGCAGCCCTTTCGAAAAACGATGGAGATCAGTGTCGGGGAAAAGCCGCCTCATTTCCGGATGAAAGTGGTCTATCCGTGACGGCTGTCCCTTGTCGAGCCACTTGGACACCATAGGGCTCATGATGAACAACGATGCATGGTCACTGTGTGCCAAGATCAGCTTAGGTCTCGGTCTCGGTCTCGGAGTTGTGCCATGGAAAACCTGGAACATACGTGTTAATGGTAACCTCTGATGCTTCGACGTTGTACTTGCGCGACACGAGTAAATTCAACATGGTCGCCTCAAAGGCCTTGAGTGCCGAGATGCTCTCAGCAAAACGCCAGTTTATCGGGATACTAGGCCGGCTCGAGCCTTCGAAGTGAACAAGTCGGGCGAAGTCCTTGAGATCGGCCGAAAGACCTTTCTGCAGCGGATTGTTCAGTATGCCATCCTCAAGGAGAGCTTTGGCCTCTCGTTGGACGGAATAATCGGTAGAGGCACCCATCGTTCCCGATTTAAGCAAGACAGCAAGTATTGGTTTGGGATAATGCAATCGATTGAGGTATGTAGAAAGCAGGTTCAGATAAATGAAAGCGTATAAGTACTGTTTGACGTTGTTGGCATTGGCGAAGCTCCGGGTCTGGCACAAGATATGGTCGGCGTTTGACCCTGTATATTGTTTGCTATCTAGTAGGCTCAGCTGCCCCATAAAGCATCGATGTTTTGGGTTTTTTTTTCCCCGCAGATTGAAATAATCGACACTGAGCCAACCTGGTGCTTCCGATGGTTCCCCCCGAGCCTTGTGGTACATACACGTAGGCCCGCGGGGTCAAGCGATAATAAAGCTCGAATTCATTATTAAGATAATATGATTTTAACCGAACAAGGTTCTACCTATTTAAAATACTATTAATAGATATAGGTAGAATTTTAGTTAATAAACTTCTATCCTATCCTATCTTGTTAATTAAACCTAAATAAACAGCCTTAGGTCGGTTGTTAAGCTTAAAAAATGGGCAAAATGTAACTCCGAATCGGGGAATCGAACCCCGGGCATGTCGGGACTTCACTTCAGCTGCGGAGGCAGAGAAAGTTGAGAGCGACATATGTTAGCCACTACACCAATTCGGATTGATAGCAAGCCCAGCTATTGAACTATATATCATTGTTCAGCTCGCTAGTCGGTCTAATACTAACTAGTTGCATGACTATATAATAGTAAATGTACTGGATGGAGTGTTATGGTATTGGCGGCCACACTGGCTAGAGTAGGTTGCTAAGTATATACCTGCTTCTTGGTATCCAAACCATTTTTGTCATCATCTGTTTCTCGAAGAGCAGTACGAATAAGGATGGTGTACCGAAATTCAAAACATGCGAACCTTTGAGCCCATCAGTTGATCTCGGCGTACCAGTACCAGACATCGAAGCGCGCGTTGTTTCCAGTAAATGGTTCCGTGCCAAATTGGACGGCTGTAGATTCGGTATCAGTTTCGCTTGAACCTTACTATGTAGTTCTGTAGACTACCTAATGAACAAAGGAAAAGAGGCAATACATACTGGTCAGGTATTGAGATGAAGCTGGGAAGCCTTGTGCGTTGGTGACATGGGTGAAGAAGGGTTTAATATCGGACTCGAAGGTAGCGATCTCGTTCGGTGCAACGAAGCTGAAGACTTTCATCGGCCCATTGTACCCAACCCACAGGTCCCAAGTTTGTCCGGCTACATTGACATTCCCGGTAGAGCTACCAATGGGCTGGATGTCACCCCGTTTTCCAAGCCTGCAATCGCGGTGAGCATTCGCTGTCAAGCATTGGTGAGTTCGACACAGCGAAGCAGGACTCATGCTTACCAGATCATCAGCTCATAGTCGCCACTGCTGTTGTCGTGATTCGGGTCAGCAGCCGTAAACAGGTCGTAGGCGATATCGGCGCGGATGTTGTCTCCAGCGTATTGCCATTCTGCCTTCGTCGGCATGCTTCCTATGTCACTGACGAATTTCTTGCTCGCCAACTCGCGTCCGGAGTAAGGATAAGACTTGACCTCACTCTGGCCGCCAGACCAATTCCACTCCGAGTGCCATTGGACTCCTGGGTTCAAGAGCTTATCGACGTGTGTGCACTGGTTACCGGTGCCAGAGTCCTTGCCCCAGGCATTGTTGTTGAAGTAGTAGCCACCTGAGGAGTAGTAGCTGTATTGGTCGCAGAGATCCTGCGCCCAGGCTAGCGACAGCAAAGCCGAAGAAAAGGCGAACACAGACTTCATCTCGATACGTCGATACGTAAAACTGGGTGCACGGATTGATTGACTTGGTTCTATTCACACTACGGCATCCGAAGGCACTACTCCTATATATACAAGCATAGGAAGTCGACGATGATCCACTGTAGTTGCGAAGCCACTCGGCTTCCCAACAGGGAAGGTATTGTAATATTTAAGGTAGCCGTCCATTCTTCGTTTCAAGCTAAGAACAGATCCAGGCTATGGTGAGATTGGCGCGCATGATGCGTGCCGTCCTCAATTGGCGCATGTTGCATCAGCATCTAAATTTGTCGTGATGGGAGCTTCACGTGAAGGATGATGAGGGCATCGGGTGTCCTTGTGCGAGCTGTCGCCCGGCGCTGCCGGCTGTTGTCCCGAAGATCTGACCTGAAACCATCAGTCTGGAGGTGTTTAGATTGCCGAATGGAGTGTTCGGATTGTCGAATCCGAGAGTCGGCTTTCAGGTGTTCTTGCGGCATCCAGCAACTGCAAGGTGAAAATACGCAATTATTCCACCAGTCAGTTAGAGCAAAAGCATGCTGCGATACTAAGCGCTGGCCAAGCAAGTTGCCTCTGGCCAGGCACGACAGCGGGCTCGGCGGGTATGTAAGTCGAGCAGGACGCACTAGTGCAATGCTCGTCAGAGTGCTAACTACTTTAGAAAGAAGTCAAGTAAGCTTTATCGAGAATCCGAGGCGCTGGCATCCCAGGAGATGAGGTTACGTGTGTGGCGTTTCCTAGCGGCCTGACGATCTGTTACCACCTGCCCCTCTGGAGTATGTGCATCCCAACGTATAAAATCGAGATGGACAGCAAGGCGATCCTTGCGATAGTATATTTGGGTTGTGCGTTTGTTTTTTGACAAAGATGATAGGTGCGTTCATAGAACGTGACGCGTGGGATGGAAAAGTATTAGTGAGGGAACGAACACCCAGACAAACCAACAAAGATAAACTCTTGTACATAGCCTCTTCCTTCAGGAGTAGATCGACTATGAGCCTACCTAGTAGGACGGACATATGGCCAAGCTTGTAGGCATCGGTAGATGGCCTGGCTCATATGATGCTGGAACTCTCTTGAATCAATGGGTTCATGATTATTCGAATTCTATCTGATGCTGGCGTGTAAGTGTGAATAACATCCACACATGTCGGCGCCTGCGAGGGGTCTCGGACGGTCCCATCTCGGCGACCAGTGGCAGTACAAAAAGCTATGTATAAGAGTCACTAGCAACTTTTAAAACACCGAAATGTGACTGTCGCTATTCGCTCCGCGATGCACGTGTGCGCCACAAAGTCCAGAGCCAGACATGCCAGAGTGTGCTTACATCACGCCAACGTTCTTGTGCCACCACGTCTTCCAATCAACAGTCTTCCTATCCCTCCTCGCCTCCTCAGCAGCGAAAACCATCGCGTGGCTACGTATAATCTCCTCTAGACTGCACCCTATGAACTCGCGCTGGGCTTCTTCTGCCCTCGCTCCGCCATTTTTGACGCTGTCGACGGCGAGGACAAATTGCCTCGTCAGACCGTGGTCGCCGCCCCCGTGGCCCAGGCTTTCCAGCTTGGGCTTGTACGTCTTCGTCTGACCTGTTCGGAAATCCTCGATCGTGATGGTCGACGAATCGGCGAAGATCTCCCCCTCAGTACCATAGATGTATGTATATCTCTGGCATTGCTTCTTGGTCTGTGCAATCATATGGAACGTCGCCTGCTTCGCACCTCGGGAACCCAGAGTGTCGTTTGCAGCCGCGCCAGAATTGGGCAGGGGATCATCTTCCCACGTCATGGTCACCACCTGCTCATCGCACACGTCGTTATCCGACTCGAAGACGCATCGGCCAAACCAATTCCTGCCGTCAATCACGTCTTGGGGTGTCGAGCTGTCATAGTCCTCAGCGAGCGCCGAAAGCATTACCTCTTTCGCCTTGCCCATATCGCCGCCGCAACTTTCGATGTCTGGAACAACGATACTGTTAGGCCACCTGAGGTTGCCAGTCTCAACGCCTGAATGTTGCTTGCCCACGTAGATTTTCTTGCTGGAGTAAATGCAATCCTTCTCAACGGGGCAGTTGAGACAGTTGGTCGTGTTACCTGCCGCTTTTGGTTTCCTGCTATTTCTGAAGAATTGCAGTGAGCCGGTTGAGGCGACAGATGTCGGCAGATGCTCGGGCGCATCCGATCCAGGTGCGGGCGAGCACATGAGCCATAAAAGAATGTCGATGTCGTGGCAGCTTTTGGTGAGCAGCGACGGGGCCGTGACAGACTCCTTTCGCCAGTTCCCACGAACGTAACTATGCGAAAAGTGCCAATATCCCACCGGCTCCGTGTGATGGACGCTGAGTATGTCGCCAATCACGTTGTCTTGCAGGAGCAGTTTTCGCAGCATCATGTTGTGCGGTGAGTAGCGCATCACATGGCCGATGGAGAACACCTTGGAAGTTTGGAGCGGTGTCAAAGCATTGTATATGCTAGTGCAATCCGCGAGTGTCGTAGCCAGAGGCTTCTCGCACATGATGTGAAGACCGAGTGGTGCGAGGGCCATAATCACGTCGCGATGCATCTCATCTCGCACACATATGAAGGCGGCGTCGATGCCCTCTGGCACGGCTTCTCCGGCTGCCTGTCGCAGACGACGGTTGGTTTCCCACCTCACATACTCTTCCCAATCGTTGAAACTCGATCCCTCCACGGGCAACGCCGTCCTTCCCCATATGAACTTCTTCCCGAAATCCTCACGCTTATACTGGTCGGGCTCAGCCACCGCGGCGATTACACCGTTACTCGACTGGATCGAACACCTGGCGTACGTGCGGCCGCGAGATCCGGCCCCGACCACGAGTAGTCGCGGGGGCTTCGCAGACATTGGAGGTGGAGATGGCGGCCGGATTTCAGCATCGCCCAGCTCCTGTTCGAGGTCGGCAGGACCTTCATCCCCTAGACTATGAGGCGCCATACTGCTTTGCTTATTCGGTTGTCAAAGACTTGAACGGGTGAGATGGGAATCTGGGAATAAGCAGGACGTAGATGTTGGATGGGTACGTTACGTTACGACCTTCCCTGCTGGGCACTTGATAACCTAGACGAATAGTGCTTATACCCATGCCTAATCCGGGGTATCACATGCAAATGACAGAAACAGACGTTGAAAACTAGTAACGCTGGGCTTGAACATCACTTCGGATCCAAATCATATAATCTATAGTAAGAGTGAGATTCAATGCAGTAGGTCAAGTAGTTGTGTCGAATGGGCTGGTGGAAGCAATGCCAACAGAAAGCTACTAAGCTGGTTGAGCATTAGACTTGCAGTGGAGGTAACCTAGTATATGTGCCTAAATCCGTGGATTGTTCTTAGTCTCATCCATGTTTCCAACTCACACGACCTTGTTTACCAAAACGCAGTACTCCATTGGATATGTCGTTGCCAACGCGATCCAGTAGTCCCATCTCAACCACCTTTCCTGATTTGTCGCGAGATAATGGAGGGAGTGGAGGAGTAACGTGGTACGCACCATCCCTCCAAATCGAAGGACTAGGATGCCATATAATATTATCTTTAGAAAGGATCGCTTTTTAAGAACATTAACCGATAGAAGATAAATAAAGATGATTAATTAAATAACCCCCCTCTTATAGGAAAGAGAGAGAGCGAAAGAACAAAATAGGAGATGGAGGCAAAAGGAGCTTGCCTATTTAAGCCGAACCAGGTAATTTGCAAAAGAGATTCATGGACGAACGGGGATTTGAACCCCGGACCCTTCGCAATTTAGCTGAGTTTGGAACCGTAAGATTCCAACCCCGTGTATGCAAAGCGAATATCATACCCCTAGACCATTCGCCCTATAATACAGGTTTTTACTCTATAAAGATAAATATATGCATTCCCGTTTTCCAGCTAGGATGTCGAGCACGACCTGATTTACCCACAATCCCAGCAGAGGTTGGTTGCGCAAGCTTGATTGATTCTCAATTGAACTAGATATTTTCTCTGTTCCATGCCAATCGATTACACATGATTCGGTTAAGTGTGGTTGTGATCGCTTTGACCTTGCAGCTACTATAAAATGACGAGCATCATGTGTGCAGTGCATCCGTCGCTGACTTAGTATCTGGGGATGCGCGCTTATCTTTATTCTTCTTTTTTACCTGTGTTCGTGTTGCACTTATAATTTGGGCCTGGAAGTGCATTTGAGTTGTGTCATGAGTGATATGGAAGCTCGCTATCTCGCCTACTTGATTCAAGGCAGTATGCAGAGACGGTTTTCTTGACATGGGATGAGAACTAATTATTGCCTACATAGACTAGGGAAACGATCATAGTAATACTTCAAGTGGAAAGGTTGACCCTTGGCTTCTGGCATATCTACTTGTGTTCGTCGATGTTTTTCTATTCTCTCTCTATGTAATTTGGGATCTGGAGCGCTCGCAGGCCTTCTTTCCTACTCCTGATGGCATGTTGTGCGCTCGGGCGTTTCTCGATTACCCGATACCACGCCTCATAGTGAGGATACTTGCCCTATCTCAGAGTTAATAAATTGTTCTGCTATGCGAATTTAAGTCGTGAAGGAAGAAAACAGTATGATAATCACACAAAGTAAAGGAGAAAGGAGAATGCGGAATAAGGGGGGCGGGGTCGGTGATGGCAGTGGAGGGAAGAATACCGACCTTTGGGATAGCAGCATCATTGGTGGTCATCACGAAGTCAATGATTTGCTCCCAAATAAACCAACTTAGATCGGCCACTGTGAGTTTGGCGCCCACAAGCCAAGTATCCTTTCCCGTAAGCCTCTCGCCTTGTTTCTCCCCAGCCTGGCGGGAGAGGTGCAGGTCCAGCACAGAACGAACACGCTCTGCCTCATTGAAGTATCTTTTGATCGCCGATGGTATCTTCTCTTGGTGGAAAGTTGAGAACCATACACCTTGTCCATAGTATGGACCTTGTCCTGTTTAAGATTTAAGCCGTGTTAATCACAGAGGACCTGGGTGTAGCTTGGCATAGGAGGACGTGTTGACGCAAGAAGCTTACCGGAAATCTGATACGCGATCCATTGCCTGATGAGGTGCTTTTCGAGGAAGGTGGCATAGGAAAACTGGTAATTCTTGTCGTACTGCTCAACAAGATACTCGATAATGGGGCCGGACTCCCACAAAGTAAGATCCGTGTTTGGGTCGTGGATTGCGGGCACGCGACCGTTGGGGTTGATTTTGAGGAATACGTCCTGTTTCATCTCTTCAAACTTCATATCGATGAATTCATACGACAGCTCCAGCTCTTCGAGAATCATCCTTACTTTGAGGGGGTTTGGGCCAAGACTCGCGCCCCAAAGAGCGATAGGCTTTAGGGAGGTGTTTGATGCCATTGTGGGTTGCTAGACTTGAAGAATAGGGCTTTGAGGGAAAGCTCCAGATGCAATTGAGGATAGGCTGGACTATTACAGTTCTAATCCGAGGGCACGGTTGGTGCTACCAACAACAAAAAAGTTGGCACCCTACGAGTTGTTCGACTCTATTATACTTTCGATCACCTACGCATTATGTTGATATATGCAGTGGCACAGGAAGGAGCCAATCGGGTGTAAGGCTGACTACCACCACTTGGCAACTCGCGATGAGTCAGTGAGTCAGTGGACCGCCGGATACAATTCAGAGTTGGGTTTTGCTGCTAACCCTACTACGTTACTGCCGTCACCAACACCTACGGAGGTATTTTCGGAGACTTATGACCGGCCCATCTTGAGAGCGTTGCTTGATCTCGGAGTTGTGCGCTCGTCGCACCAATCAATCACTTCGAGCTTGATAGAAGAATCTTGTCCTGAGTTGTAGCAGGAAACAACATAGAGTCGAGACTGAAACCTTGTCTCGAGCTTTGTCTGCCGAACTATTGCGGCTTCTATATTCCACTGCCAGTTCCAGCCTAATATTACAGTAGCTTTCCGGGGATATATCGATACAACAGATACGCTCCTATACCACAATTCCAAGCAATGCGATCCTAAAATACATGTTATTGCTGTTCCGAATTCCGCCGCTCATCCAGATAAGCACCCCAATCCATCAGCGAAGCCCTCTTCCCTTCAGAGTCATCACCTTCCCTCCAACCCAACCCATCCCACGCTCCCAAACCGCAAAGATGCCTCATAGTAGGCCGTCCATGCGGACAATTCCAAGGCTTATCCAGTTCACCCATGTGTCGAACGAGTTTCTCCATCTGCTTAACGGATAGGGACTTGCCAATCATGACACTGCTTCGACAAGCGCGCATCGCAAACATCTTGCGGACCTTGGACGGCCTTGGAACGGTCTTCGTTGATGCAGATTGATGATCTTGAAGGAGTGAGATGAGCTCCTCCAAATCCGCGAGAGAAAAAGTGGTTTCCCGACTCAATGGCAAACTAAGCAACTGACACCGAGTTCCCACGGGTTCGTCACCACACTCGTCATAGCTGACCATGAACCCGTTGGTCTCCAAGGCCTTTAGGTTCTGGCTCACTATATCTTCTTCGACAGCTGTGAGCTCAAGAGTCTTAGGATGAACTAATCGCTGAGACTGCACAACAGTACTAGCCTGCAGTCGTTCGAAGTTATACTTTTCGTCTGTCGCATGCTGATCTATAATGAAGAGCTCGTCATCTCTACCCAGCGTGTCTGCCGAACTTGTTTCCGCTGCACGGGTGGCTAGGATGAACCCAAGGTTGAATTGTCCTATAATCTTCATCTTCTCAAAATCCGATTTTGATATGGTCAAGGAAAGTTTTTCCTCGGCGTCGTCGGCATCGAGGCGCTCAGTTTCTGGCATACATTTGGTGCTGAAGTGAGAACCAGAAATGCGTTCTTGCTGCCAGGTCAAGGAATCGCGGATGAGACGCTCATTTGTTTGTAAGCTTTGCTGAAGATGATACGTGGCGTCTTTCTTCCTCGTATTCCCTTTGACAAAACTCTGGGTGCGTTTCTGCGACTCCTCAGAGGTATTTTTTTCGGCGGTTTCATTACTATCGTGAGTTTCGCCAGTGATATTCTCCTCTGCCGTTTCATCGGTCTTATCATCTCCATCTCCAGCGTTTGGAAGATGCGCCGAGGATTCTGGCTCTGCCTCCCAGTCTTCTTCTAGACTCGCCTCGGATGCCTGCGGGGCTTGCGAGGCTTGCGAAGAGTGTTGTTGGTTCCCATGTAAACTGGATATGTTGAACGTGTGCTCGGTCTCGCTTTCCTCTGCGGAGTCATCAGATACAAACAGATGTTCCTCTGACAAATCTGAATCCTGTTGGTCCTCTTCAACCTCCTTGACCTCTCTCTGGTCAGACTTCGACGGCTTTGACTGTGCAGCAAACATCTGAGTCAACCGCCCATTAAAGGAAGGCGTAGGTACTGGTACTTTCGCGCTTTTACTCCTAGAGTGATTCCGGTTCTGTTGATGCTCAAGCCGCGGCTTTTTAGGTGTGGATCCGATGACGCTTGTCACAGTATGATCGCCGATTGTGATGGTAGCAATTTCTGGTGCAGGCCGCTTCGCCATCGAGAGGGGAAACGACTTCTTGGAGTTCATATCCGACGTGCGAGGTAGAGGGGACACGGAAGGAATCGGCGGTTCTGAAACAACGGACTTGGGTGGTATGGATTTATTTGCAATCGCGTCGTTGTTGATATGCTTTTGTTCCTCATGCTGTGCTCGAAGAGACTGTGTGCGATTGTCATCCTTGATTGAGCCTTCAGATGATGGTGACTCTAGTTGCTTAAGGTCAGGAGATAGTGGGCTTCGCGTGTTTGCCCTCGCAGTCGTATCCGCCTCATCGATACTCCTCCCTTTGCCACCTTCCAGACGAGGCTTCTCCCGCAGACCGGCATTCCGCTCAACCCAACGGCTGATTAGACCGTTGTTGCGAGCAGCGAGTGCGCTGTGTTCATCTTCAGTTCTTATGGTATCTAGCTCGGATGTTGATTCAGCATCTATAGAACTTGGCGTGGTGCAATCATCTGTATTGGTTGATTCCAAGTTTTTCGCGGGCGCTTCAGTTGAGGGTGTGGCGTGCCTTTCCCTGGAGGGCCGTTTGAGAAGGGATTGCTTTGGTGTTTGAATATGTGAGGTCGGCAAGGCATAATCCTGAGATTCAAACAAGGTGCCGAGAGACTCTCTAAGATTGTCCAGCATTCTCGTCTGGTCATGAAGGAGTATACTTCGCTTATCTGGGCTTACGTTAACATCATAGAGATGGGTGTCCAGTTGAATATCTGCGAAGATGAAAGGTGATTGCGAAGCATTGTACGACTTGTATACTTCATTGAAAACCTTGGCGAACTGAGGCAGCCCGCATGGACGGCCATTGACAAAGAACATCTGCCTGTCCGGAGTCTGGCGTCCTTCGCCATAAGCGGGCCGAGAGACGTGCCCTCTAACTCGGATAATCTTGACTTGGCTTTCACTCCGAGGTGTGGGGCGTTGGCTTGATAGACTGGTAGACTCCAACTCAAACTCTAGATCCAACGGTATCAAGACGGACAGAGTCTTGGCTCCAAACACGTTCACGATATTCTCGCGCGTGGTGAGATTCCCTTTGGTTGAAAACAAGACCATGCGCTTGCCCTTGTTGGGCTGTTGTGAGACGGAAAACTTGAGTCCAGTTTGAATACAGGCATATTGATTGAGAACACCCAGAACCTTATTCCACTCGCGCTTGATGTTCCGTTCGAGCTCGCGGCGACGGACGGGTAAGTTATAGAAAAGGCCTTCAACAACGATGGTAGTGCCTTTCTGTGCAGCGACAACGCTCGTACCGAGCAACCTTCCCGACGTTTCGAAATCCAACCGTGAGCCTTTCGGAGCATCTGAAGCCAAGCAGGTAGTGA